TTTATTTCATGACATTTGACGACATGCTATACTATGACTTTATTTCATGACATTTGATGACATGCTATACTATGACGTTTTTTCATGATATTTGACGACATGCTATACTATAACTTTTTTTCATGATTTTTGACGACATGCTATACTATGACTTTTTTTAATGATTTTGGACAACATATTATACTGTGACATTTTCTCATGATTTTTGACGACATGCTATACTATGACATTTTTTTTTAATGATTTTGGACAACATATTATACTGTGACGATTTTTCATGATTTTTTACGACATGCTGTACTATGACGTTTTTTAATGATCTTGGACGACATGCTATACTATGATGTTTTTTAATGATTTTGGACAACATATTATACTATGACGTTTTTTCATGATTTTGGACGACATGCTATACTATGACTTTTTTTCTTGATATTTGACGACATTATACTGTGACAATTTTTCATGATTTTTGACAACATACTATACTATGACGTTTTTTTCATGATTTTTGACGACATACTATACTATGATGTTTTTTCATGATTTTGGATGACATGCTATACTATGACGTTTTTTAATGATCTTGGACAACATATTATACTATGACGTTTTTTCATGATTTTGGACGACATGCTATACTATGACGTTTTTTCATGATTTTGGACGACATATACTGTGACGATTTTTCATGATTTTGGACGACATACTATACTATGACGTTTTTTATTTATTTTGGACGACACACTCTACTATGACGTTTTTTCATGATTTTGGACAACATACTATACTATGACTTTTTTAATGTTTTTCAACGACATACTATACTATGACGTTTTTTAATGATTTTTGACAACATACTATACTACGACATTTTTTCATGATTTTTTACGACATGCTATACTATGACATTTTTTAATGATTTTGGAAAACATACTATACTATGACGTTTTTTAATGATTTTGGAAAACATACTATACTACGACATTTTTTCGTGATTTTGGACGACATACTATACTGAGACATTTTTTCATGATTTTTGACGACATACTATACTATGACTTTTTTCATGATTTTGGACGACATGCTATACTATGACTTTTTTCATGATTTTGGACGACATGCTATACTATGACTTTTTTCATGATTTTGGACGACATGCTATACTATGACTTTTTCCATGATTTTGGACGACATGCTATACTACGACATTTTTTCATGATTTTGGATGACATACTATACTATGACGTTTTTTAATTATTTTGGATGACATACTATACTACGACATTTTTTCATGATTTTTGACGACATACTATACTATGACATTTTTTCATGATTTTGGACAACATGCTATACTATGACTTTTTTCATGATTTTTGGACGACATGCTATACTATGACTTTTTTCATGATTTTGGACGACATGCTATACTATGACTTTTTTTCATGATTTTGGACAACATGCTATACTATGACTTTTTTTCATGATTTTGGATGACATGCTACAGTATAACTTTTTTCCATGATTTTGGACGACATACTATACTATGACTTTTTTTCATGATTTTTGCATGACATACTATACTATGACTTTTTTTCATGATTTTTGCATGACATACTATACTATGACTTTTTTTCATGATTTTTGCATGACATACTATACTATGACGTTTTTTCATGAATTTGGACGACATGCTATACTATGACTTTTTTCATGATTTTTGGACAACATGCTATACTATGACTTTTTTCATGATTTTGGACAACATGCTATAGTATGACTTTTTTTTCATGATTTTGGACGACATACTATACTATGACTTTTTTTCATGATTTTTGCATGACATGCTATACTATGACTTTTTTTCATGATTTTTGGACATATAATTTTGAGTTTTTTTCCACGATTTTTTTCAACATAATCTACTACGACATTTTTCTATGCTACACCATTTTTCATTACATTCTTTTAGCCTACCATGCTATGACTTTTTGACTTACTAAATTATGTTTCATCACCTTTTTTGACACGGTCTATGACATTTCTCATTGCATGTTTTGGTTAACTAAACCGCCATTTTTCGACATATATCAGACATTTCTGACTTACTATGCTGACATTTGTCATGACGTCTTTTTGACATACTATAGTTTGACATTTTTCATAACTGTAACATTTACTTTTGTATTTTATGCCTCAAACTATTTTCTAGACACTAGTTCTTTAATGAATTTTATTTTAAATGTCCTTTTATATTGTGTTTCTTTTGCATTTGTGATGCCTTTAATGTTTTATGTCGAGCACTTTGAATTGCTTTGTTGCTGAAATGTGCTGTAGAAATAAACCTGCTCTACATAAGTAACAGATCTTAATGCTCCTCCTAAGGACTAAAAAAACATTGGATGAAGCTTTAAGGACACACAGTCATGTTTCAAACACACTGGTCAGGTGGTCTCGCTCGCTCTGATTCGACCTCCGTTCAGGATTGGTGCAGGCTGTTTGACTGACAGCTCTGGGATGTTGCCACCCGGTGAGAAAAGGGTTCTTTTAACAACCTGGAGTTTGATGACCTCATAAACTTTCACCTGAGCAGAGTTGGAGAGGGACAGGATGTTTTATTTGTTTGTTTGTTTTTGTTGTTGTTTTTCCCAGGTTCACATTACCTTTTTTGTGCGCGTCCATATTTCCTGCATGAAGCTGATCGTCTTCTGAAACCACAGACTTGCTGTTGATGCAAGAAAAATCAGAAAGATGCAGAATCCAGATTTGAAGGAACAATTCAGATGGAGATCAGTGTTACGTCTGTGTTTCAGAGTCAGAACACAGTCGGCTCAGCATTTAGAAAGTTCACTAACGTTTCTTAAGTTATAAACTCTCATCTCATTTGGTTGAGTTGTTGGTGCAAACCCCGCCTCCAGCTCTGTACTCAACACACAGATATGAGAAATGGTTCCTTCAGACATCTCACAGAGGATCAAACATAGACACCAGAGTTACAGCTTTGTTTAAATGTTTGTTTATTAAAAAGGAAATACAAAAAAAAACAACCTGTAGAAACCTACAGCTGAGACAAAGCAAGCAGACATGTTGATCATCGGGTCAACGACACACAGCAGCTCATCGCGTTTCTAAGCATTCCTGTTACTACAACTACGACTAACTATTTGCTCCACCTGTGTCACGCCAAGCTTGGCGCCAGTTCAACAGCTACAGGTCTGTCCTGTCTGAGGTCAAAGGTCACCTGTGGCTCCCTAGGATTGTATTCGTACACAGGCATTAAGACGACAGCAGGAGCACGACGAGGAGAAACAGTCGAAGGAAAGTGAAGAAGATTTGAGCATCATTTTGTTCAGCGAGCCAAAGGAAGACAAAACTTCATCAGCGTGAAAACAAAAAACATCCACAGGAAAAGAAGATCGAGGAACAACAATCGTGTACACAGGAGAAGATTTCCTCGTATTGCTCACCTCTTACTGGACAGCTTGGTATCAGTGGAGTACCCTGATTGGATAAAAGAGGACCACGAGGACACGAAAACATCCTGTTAGAAAACCACAGAGGATTCAAGACGTGATGAAACGAGATTAATCTCCATTTTCTGAGAAAACAGAAAAGATTTCAATCAGAACATTTTTATCTCATAATTTTAAGATTAGTCTCGTTTTCATGTGTCCGCGTCCTCCAAAAAAAATATTAAAATAAACCAAAATAATGAGATTAAAGCATGTCAAACATAAATACAGAACCATATTATGCATATATTATAAATCAGCCACATCTGGAACTGTGGGTTAGAAAATAATCTCAAAGTTTAAAGTGCAACGTTACAAAGAAACAATAAAAGAAATACTGTGATTGGAGAGCGTATACTGTTTGTCGGGTCAGAAATAAATGTTACGGAGAATTAGTTCAGTTCAGTTCAGTTCAGACGGGCAGATCTCCAGAACGTTTCTCATCAGAGTCACTTTATGTCTTTAAATGTTCATCGTCACAGCAACAAGAAACGTTTGGCCGCTGACAAGAGTCTTTGATTTCAGATTCATCTGTTAAATTCCCATCAGTCTTTGCTCCTTCATCAGGGGGTTAAATAATCTGGCGAGGACAGGAAAGACAACGTGTCCAGCAGGGAGACGTCTCAGAGTGTTGGCAGACACCCTGCAGTCAGAGACGGACGTCCCTGCAGCGTCGCCTCCATGTCTCTCAGGCCGTCAGCTTCAATCGTCCTGCAGAGAAAAGCAGACTGTCAGTCAGAAGTCATGTGACCTGTAGTCATGTGACCTGTCAGATCATGTCCACACTGCCGCAAATAAATGTGAAAACTCTTTTTATTAAACACCAGCAGATGAATATCCATCGATCCCCCGTTTTGATTCAGATAGAAATATCAACAACCATCGGATGGATCGGCGAGAGAGTTTGTGTCGACGTTCCTCAGAGGACGAATCCTGCCGACCTCAGTGATCCTCTGATGTTTCCTCCTCCAGCGTCATGAGGTCAAAGATTTAATTTGTCCAGTAAAAACTAACAAGCAACCAACAAACATCCAGCCTCATCCGTACTTTGTGTTGACTGCTAAACGTTAGCTAAAATACAAAACTTAAAAATCAAAATTAATTATAAATAATTCAGGTAAAAAATCTGTTAGAACTCAAGTATGGAAGCAAATAACAACCATAAGGATTTAAATCTTGAGACAGATTCCAAGTGAAATATTTTAATAGTATTTTAATTTCAACATCGAGTCTTTAGCAGAGAATAAATGTATCAGTTAGGTATTCAGTTACTTTAATTTAATTCAAATCCCTGAGGCCGTCACCTGCTTCCAGCTGGACACACACGATGATTCATTTACAAACTATCTGGACAGTTATTACACTTTCTGAAGCATCAGTGCTGTTGCTATGGTAACCTGCGGTTTAACTGTTGTCGGAGTCCTGTTTCAACATGTAAAGATCTAAGAAGAGTGTTTTCAGATTTATCAGTGTGGACATGGAGCTACAAATCCCACAATCCTCGGCTCAGCAGCGGGACGCCTGGTGAGGCCACAGAGCAGCAGAGACGAGGGAGGAAGAGGAGGAAGAGGAGGAGGAGGGGAGGCACATGACTCATTCAGACACCAACTAACTCTCAGCACCCTCACACTCTGAAGTCACAAGGAAAAGATTCAGGATTTAAATCAGTGGTTCTCAAACTGTTTTCATTAACGTCCCCAATCTCCGTCCTGACCAGCGACCTGCAGTCTGGCTGGGATAAAAAAAAGTCTACAGATCATTTCAAGGCCTCCTGCAGTTGCTAGGAAACAACATTGTTGTTCCACTAAGGCCTCGTGTTCACCAAAGCGTTTCGTTTCCGAGCTGAAGACCCCAGGCGCTTCTCAGGAAACATCCAGTTGGGAGAGTCTGAGAGCGCTTTGGAGGCGTGGCCAAGAGGCAAGTCGCAGCAGTCCCGCACAGGTCGGGTGTACGCTGGAGCGGTTCTAGGATTTGACGATATCAGGGGCTCAGCTGGGTGTGTGTCTGGAAGCTGCAGACCCTCCCTGACACTTTTTACAAAGATAATCGAGCTCTATTCTTGTGTTTCTCTGACGCCTTCTTTACAAACAAAGTACAACTAGAATCCCCGCCCCACTGATGTATGAGTCACCAAATGTCTCCCCTTCTGTTCCTGAGATAATTACTGTATGAATTCTTTGACCACCAAATTCTCATCAGTGTATTCTTCAGTCCAGGTGGACGTTTGTGTTCTTGAGATAGTGTTCCCAAGAATGAGACAGATGCGATGTCAAACTGACCTTTGACCACTGAAATCTAATAGAAATCCATAAGTTGAGTATCACTGCCTCAGAATGAGCTGTTTATATCTACACAGGGAGCAGGTCCTCGTCTACAGAGATCACCATGTTGCACCGCCATGTTTCTACGGTAGCCCAGAACAGACAAACCAAACACTGGCTCTAGATGGAGACATCCATGTTTTCATGTCGGCCACAGTACGTAGTTAGCAGCCTCTCAGTAACGAGCAGTGATGGAAAAATACAGATTTTTTTGTAACGTGAGGCGTCTTTGTTCAGAGTGTTTCCTGTTGTCAATCAGCTGGTGTGTTTGTTTCTGAGGGGAAGAGACCTCTGAGGATAATTCAGCTCCTCAACAATCAACACTGCAGGAATTCTAACCAGGAGAAGCTGGTTGTAATCTGTAATCTGTAATCTGTAATCCTCACTGAGAGACGCCACGTACCACCTGCAGTAATACGAAGTACCATAACCTCATCTGAAAAACCCTGATTTAAATCCTTCAAAGGTCTGATACAGGTTTAGCCTAGCTTAGCACAAAGACTGGAGGAAGTAACAGTTCACCTGCTTCCTGTCTTTGTGCTAAGCTAGGCTAACTGATCCGGGATGTTTGTCTGTAGCGACACACAGACATTAAACTGAAACAAGTGTGCGTGTGAGTAAACGTGTCATTTCCTTGTGACTTGAACACATCGTTTCACTCAGCATCAAACAGGCGACACAAACAGCGCAGTCCGCTGGGTTCTGTGGGCCCTGCTCACGGCCCTGCAGGCGCACAGACAGAAGCTCTCTGTGGTTACAGGTGGGGAGTGTTAGATGGGTGGAGGGGGAGGGGGGGAGGGCACCATGCCATGCTGAGCGCTTCCATGCCAAGCTGTCCACCAATCAGCATACAGCCCCACCTACCTGCCCACCGTCCCCCACCAATGGGCTGGCTCTGTCTACCTGTCTGTCTGTAAACCAACCAATCAGACCACAGAGTGAGGACACAGAAGAAGACGGAGGACAGACTGACGGGAGGTCACGGTGGTTTCCTACATTTCCCACAATGCCTTTTGTCAGCCTCCAGAAAAGTGTGAAGAAAGACCAGAGGTCTGTTACATCAGACGTCATTTGAGACTTTTGTTTTAGAAACTGTGATCAGTTAATCAATCAATGAGCTTGATAGATAATCAATCAGTGACACTTTGAATGATCAACTGTATCAGAAGTGTTCTCCAATAAAAACTGGTATTTAAATAAACAAATAAATGGCAACAGTTGAGCTAATGCTACGACCGTTACTTAACAATTCACCTGTGGAGAGTTGTGTGTATTTATACTGTGTGTGTAAATGTACCTGTGCACCTGTCTCTAATTGTACTGTACCTGTGGAGAGCTGGGACTGGGACCTCCTGCGGGAGCTGCTGGGAGTTCTGGAGGCGGAGGAGAGGGTGGAGCCGGCGCTGCTGGCCCGAGAGATGGGGAGAGGGACGGGGGTGACCGGGGGTGAGTCCAGCTGAGGAGAGGTCAAAGGTCACGACAGGTTATACATCATTAATACATTGTGTTGTAGGATTCTTATTCGGTCTTACAATTTTATTACTAATTTTATTTTTTGTTCTTAATTAAAGTAAATCTTTATTTCTTTATTACTTTATTTTAGTATTTTATTTACAGGTCATATCATAATTATATTTTTTTTAATATTCATTACCACTGTATAGTTTTATTTACAGAACAAAATTATTCCATTATATTATGAGCTTGAACTGAAAGCTAAAATATTGATGCCAATATAAATTTAAGTAAAAACATTCTGTCCTCTGTTTTATTGTGTAGAAAATATAATATAATATAATGACTTTCCAAATGTAACAAGACTGAATCTTTTAAAGGAAACTGATACAAAACAGGAAACATAATGAACCCTGTTGGCGTCCGTTACCTCGACGCTGTCGTGGGTGGGCGAGGACGAGGTGGACGAGTTCTCGTGTCTCCTGGAGGACGAGGACGAGGAGCTCAGCTCCACGCTGCGAACACGCTGAGCGAACTTCAGCGAGCAGACCGACTCGCTCATGTTAGCAGCCAGTGGAGACACCTGAACACAGCACAGACAGCAAGAGTCACATTCATTCATTCGTTCATCTGCTCCTGAAGGAATAACCCGTTTACAGTCTGACACTTCAGTCTGCTTTTAAAACAAGTTCACATCCTGTAAACTTCACACTCCTGTTAATCACCCTTCAGGTTTCAGTTCATGTGTCATAACACAGAGTTTTTCCGGTGAACAAAAAAACTTTATGTTGCTGCCATTACACGTGACCCTGCGCTGATGCTGCCCACCAGCCTGCTGTGAACCTGGGGTTTGATCTGATGAACAGTAAACGCATCAAATTCAGTGCCAAATATTGTTATATAAGAAGAAATCCCACCATTAGAGGAAACAATGACATGAAATATATTGTGATGATATGGTTTTAGCCAGTTAATTTTAGCTGTCGTGAGCTTGCTAGCTAATGCAGATAAATTGCTAGCTAGCTAGCTAGCATAGCAAAAATATTGTACTGAGTGATTAATGTCATTTAATTGATGCAGACTCGGGGGCTGTTCTGGCAGGTAAATTAGTTAGCTCGCAGTTTGCAAATTAATTTCATCATCTTAAATTATGAAGCAACCAACACCACAGCTTAATTAGCAGCTAGCTGGCTAACCTTAGCTTGCACAGTAGTGAACAGTAGAAAAATACAATGCTCAGGTGCTCACTTGCGATTTTAAGATGTCGCCTTTGGCTTTTGAAATTTTTATTTTATAAACCCAACTATTAAATGCTTAACAGAGTAATTTAGTCCCTTCAACCTAAAACCAAATCATTGTTCAGTTCTACCTGTTAAATACACTCAATCACGTGTTTGAGCTGAAATCAGGAGGATTAGAAAATCAAGCAGTATTAAACATAAACAGCCTTTGTAGATTTGAAACCTTTAGAAACAGCAGACTGCTCCTTTAAACCTCATCTTGGTCTTACCTGCACCATCATGAGTGTCTTGCTGTCTCCGTTCAGAGAGTCCTGCAGCAGGTATGTGAGGCGGGAGTTCCTGAACGGGACGTGGGAGTGTTTGCTCCGCAGCGCGTTGATGACGTCGCCGAGCGCTGACAGAGATTTGTTGATGCACTGAGCTTCTCTGAGGCGACTGCCCTCCGCCCCCGACTTACCGATCCTTTCCGAGCCCGCCAGGTCCACCAGGTTCAGCTTACCTGCAGACAAAACACACAGAAACACATGTACACAAGGTCAGATTATCAAAGCCGTGTTCAACATGGTGCTGCACAATTAGATTAATTGTGCAGCACAATGTTGAACACACTCGTTTGTTGACCATTCCACACTGGTGACGGCTGCATTTTACCAAACAAGTGACGCCATGTTTGTTTGATGATTGTGCATTAAATTGGTTATTAAAGGCAGGTTGTTATGAGACCAACGAGGTACCACAAGGTTTTGTACTGGGCCCCTTACTGCTCACACACTACGTATAAATTAGAATCACACCAGCACAGACTTACGCTGAGCTCACACTACACAACATTTTTGTCCTTTCTGACAGTCACTACGTCAGATTAGGTGATTATGGATTCATAAAATCTTGCTGTAACTTCACCGACAGACATGACAGACTACACGGTGGTCTGAAACTTATCATCCTTGGTCATCTTTCATGACATGCGTGATGTCATCAGGTTATTCTTGTCCTTTGTTTTATTATTATTATCATTTCAGTCACCGTGTCGGTTCATGTCCCAGCCAAAATGTTGTTGTAGTATCGTAAAAAGTGTCACCACATGGGCGGAGCTACATTTAAAGTACGGCATGAAAACTATGACAGTCAGGAAGTTCCTGCAAATGTTTCACAATAAAAGCCTTTTTAGAAAATGAAGAGATTCTCTCTGAAATGATAAGGGGCTTTTAATTTGAAACAGAAACAGGAAGTGTTGAGTTTGATTAAACTAAGAACAGAATGATAAATGGTGTGGTGTGTTTGAGATGCAGCTGGTAGCCTCTGCAGCTGTGCTGAGTAAAGACCCAGACACTATCCGTGAGTTTGATTCCTTTATATCCTCCATTATGAAGAAAGAACATTCTTTGCTAGCTTGATGCTAATGGCAGTACTCAGCGGGTTGATAAAGTGCCTCTGCTGTTTCCTCTTTACTCTGTGTGCTAACGTCCCTACAGGAAATACAGTAACTACAGCAAATACAGCACCAACAGTGCCGTAGGACACTGTTGTTGTCCTACAGTTTCCACGGCAACAGATCGTTCTGTGTTCCTATTGGTCAAAGTGACGGCTGTGACGGGAGAAGTCTTGGAAGACAAAAAGAAAACCAAACATGCTAGACTTTCTGTTGGGACGTTGTGAGGCGTCTCAGACGTGGCGTAGTAACAAAAAGGGAATTATATTCTATCATCTTTATTTCTAAAGATCTCCTGCCTCAGTTCATTTATTTCTTTTTCATTTAAAAGTTCGGTGTGTGTGTGTGTGTGTGTACCTTGTGTGCGGTTTCCAGTGGCCGTGTTGAATCCAGACACAGTGATGATGAGCAGAGCGTGGGAGCGAGAACTGTGTTCATTCAGGTTGGTGCAGGCTGTCGCTCTGTTCATGTGACCCAACTCAAACACCTGACGACAGGTATGTTCACAAACACAATTTGTCATAACCAGTTCATCTGCAATATTGCTTCTGATTAATTGTTCAATCAAGTGTCAGAAAACAGTGAAAAGAGTCCAAATAAAAAATTTATATACCTTTCGTTTGTCTGATAAAGAGTCAAAAACTCAAAGAGATTAAAGTCATTTCATATTAAATGAAGAAAACCAGAAAATATTCAAACCTAAAAAGCTGGAACCTGAAATATTTAGTTTGTTTGTTTTTTTGAACTGAAACAATGTATAATAGTTAATAGATGGTTTCAGCTCTGATGATGTTTTCATTTGCTCATTTAGTCCACTAATAAGTTTTTTCCTGAATTTTCAAAGATACAGAAAAGTAAGTGGACCTTGAATAAAAATTTTTCCTCAGACGACTGTTTTCAGGGTCTTTACAGTTACGTTATGAGGTCACAGTGGCAGATAAAGATCAGAGAGCAGCAGCTGGCTTGAGGTGTTTTATACTGAAAAGACAAGCACGGCAGGAAGTCCTCACCCTGTTGATGTCCTCGGGGCTCTGGACGGTGATCTCGGTCAGTCCGGGGACGTAGAGCTGTCCGCTGCCGTCAGGGTTCATCTTGATGTCCAGCTTGTCGGTGGGATTCTCCCCCAGCAGGTTCCTGATGGACAACACAGACATTTACAACCTGCAGACTCGACTCAGGGCAACACATCACACCTGTGAGGGGGCGGGGCTTCAGGAAGGATCAGTGAGGCAGATTCACTCAGTGAGTTTGTTTTGAAAAATCTCCCCTGAACTCACTGCTGCTGTTTGAAGCTCAGAGTTGATCTCTGTGCATCTTCACAGTGAGTGAAACCATCGTCCACAGACGAGGTCGTGATAAACTGACGTGTCCTGAGCTGACTGATAATCTGAGACTTTAATCCGACTCAAGTGTTCTGGACCTTTCAGCCAAAAACTGTCAACCCAGCGTCCAGATGTCGAGGCTTTTACACAGATGTTCAGTTACACAACAGCTGGATGGATGAACTCAAACAGATGATATTTAATATGATCCTGATTTTACATAACTGCTCTCAAACTGCACTGAACCTGACCTCCATGTTGTTGTATCTTCATCACAAACCAGACAACACAGACAACTTTCCTCGTCGTAAACATTAGCTAACAGTGATGTTTGTCCTGCTGGTGGCGCCACAGAGAGGCTCATGTTGTGTGGTGGGTCGTGGTGTGTTGTGCTGATAGTAACTCATGTATCCTGGAGCCGACAGCAGAGACGAGCAGACGCCTACAGGAGCCCCTTTTCCACTGGACGATAAATCCACTAACATCTAGATTTAGCGCTCAGTGTGAAAGGTCACAGTCAGCACTCACTCAACAGCAGCAGATTCATCTTCTGATCACCGTCAGTGTCCGAACTCAATGTCCAGTCCAGTAACGTACTGAATCGTAATCCGTCTGATGGCTGCTGAGAGATTTCACTATGTGTCTGACTGACTCGGGATCAGCTCATTGTGTCTGACTGACTCGGG